TCCCTAAACCCACCAGAGTTCGGGTCAAGCATTCTCCCCAGTAGATAAATACTTCACGGTTTATCCTGCAAGCAACACTAGTCTGCTTTTCAAAGTACTTTATGGAAGCCTTGAGAGCAGATAAGAGTGCAGTCGCTCGCAGCTGTGAACAGTTGACATCTGGGAGTCAGACAGAGACTCACCTCCCGGTCATCAAACTCACAGTACTGCAGGTCCCAGGAGGTTGACAGTGTCCTTACACAAGCGTATGTGTTGTTATAGGAATCTTCACACACACAGTCAGGGAAGCAGTGCTGTGAAGTGAGCAGTGAACAAAAACTTCAGAGCAGGAAAAAAGATGAACTAGCAGTCGTCTTCCTAGAGCCTGCACCAGCTCAAGCCAACTGCAGTTAGCTGATGAACACCAGGGTCTTAGTCTAATACATGCAGTCTCCCCTGAGGATTTTAAGTAAAATCTCAGCTCTTCTAAATTAGAGAATTATTAAGCTTACTACAGTTAAGTGTGTTTTGTCTGGAAAGCTAACATGTATACATTGAGAACATCCCAACATACACAAGTAAAGGCCACACCAGTGGGATGCTTTACTTAAAGCAAACCCTCTTTGATTCAGGAAGTAGCTATGACTTACAAATAACAGCCACAGACAACAACTGTGCAGCAAGGTCACTGGAAGTTTAGAAAAATCATGGTCTTGCTACTACCCACCTTGCCAAGCCCGCACCTCCAGCCCTGAGGCCCTACAGATTCCGAAGGAAAGGGTGGCTGTGTTCTGCAGAGTCACATGGACACATCAGTTCCACAAGGCTGCATGTCTCCCTCTGATTCCTAAATGCTGGCAGAACCTACAGAGCTAGCTCCTACTAACCAAGACACTAGGAGCTTAGTGATAGAACCAGGTTAGCCCATACAGCAAACAGGTTGAATCCAGCAGCTATTTTCTAACATTAACAGATCTTGTCTTGCTTACTGTGACTCCAGGTCCTAGGCCAGGACAGGTAGGATCGCTGCCATTGTACCCTTCTCCCTGGTACTCCACCAAGAAGTCTGATCTCCATGTCTCATTTTTGTCTCCTCTCTAGGACAAGAGAGTAACATCACTTAGTATCCACTGCACTGTGAAACACAAGGAATGCTCCATGCCCACTCCTTACAAGGCAGTTTCATGATTCCTAGACGGTCTTAAAATAATATTTAGCCTTAGGTTACAAGGTCTTGTGTAACAGGAAAACAAGGATCCAACTCCAAAAATATTAACAGACCTTCTTGTGAGGGGTTGAAGCACTATCTGCAATTTACATAAAATCCTGTAGTAAGATCAAATAGGAGCCACAGGGTCAGATACAATTACATTACAGACAAGACCCTTGTAGCAAGGCTGCTTGGTTTATATCACACTATCACAACAGATGGAAAAAGATATCCTTGGCATAAGAAAAGATAAACAGCTTTAAGAAGCAACTAAGTTTTAAGCTGCTCTATTTTGAACTGCATTTTAAAGACAGAGGGAGAGGGAAGTTTAAAGTTAGTATAGAGCACCATCAGGGGCATATACAGCAAAACAATGAGTTTCACAGTTTTGATTCCATCAGTTTAAACTAGATGCCTTTTACCTGCTTCTGTCTAAAGAACAGCTTAAGGTTTGGATACACGGTTTTAAAAGCAAAGCACTGTTTTAAATCTGGATGATCCTTCATTTCCAAGTAAGCCGCCTTCAATTTATAGAATGAATTTAATTAAAACTAAACAGATCAACTGCAAGCAGCTTTATTTAAGTAGGCTTCTGCTCACCTATTGGAAAGGTCAAGTTTACTTTGTAAAGCCATGTGCATTTTTCCAGAGTTTAGGGGGAAACACTAGTTCTACCAAAAATTGAGGCAAACCAAAGATTTCAGTAAGAACAGTCTGCTCTTCTCCTGTGTCTATGCTGCGAAATCCTAAGGAAAAAGGGAGGGAAGGTGCAAGGTGAAAACAACATCAGCCTTCAAAACAGGAATCCTTACAAACGGCAGGAGTAGCCAAAGGATGACACAGCTTTCTCTTGCAGAGTGACCACAAAATTGTAGGGCTTATGAAAACACATCTGCATTTCAAACGGATACCTACTTTTTTCACTAAGTTATGGACACCCCACGTGAAAGTGACATTGAGGGAAGAATCTGGGTTTGAGTCTATTGAAGGAAGTAGTATTTGCTTTAAAGAATAACCCCTGCAAGAACAGCTGGTTACTATCCCTGTCTCTCTACTTACCAGCAGTGGCAGCAGTGACATCCCATCCATCTGGGTCTTATTCAAGTCATACCCCGCGATGTCCAGAATAGTGGGACCCAAATCAATATTTGCAACAAGCATCTGCAAGGTGAGAAAAACTTACTTCAGAAGCCCAGAACCCAACAGATATAACAATGAGACTTCTGTATGTGAAGTACTTGTAATTTTAGGTACACCTAAACAGTACTTAATTTTTTCTTTATAGGCTAACGGACCCTGTAACATTTAAAAGCTGTGGCAGGGTCTGTGGAAAGTGAGCTTCACACTTTGCTTACTTTTGTAGCCTGCAATTAAATTTACTGATTGAAGCAATAGCACACAGCTTTTTAGAATGAGGTCTTTGCAGTGATTTAATTTCACTGATACATATATATGCAGGAAGATAAATTATGACCTAAAGTTGAGAACTGTGAAACAGTATTAACTTCTTTCTTACCTTGTTTGTCTGATTTGGTTTTATCCCTGGTCCTCGAACTAGCAATGGCACTTTGATATCAAACTCATACAGCTGCCGTTTGTCTATTGGCAAAGAAAACTGGCCTATACAATAGAAAATGGAAAAGGTTAAATGGCTTCTGATTTTATGTTTTAAGAGTCTTGTGTTACATAATTTCCAACAGCCAAGTGTGGTTTTGTTTTTTTCTTTTACAAAGTCAGAAGAGGTTCTTAATGTGAACTACACTAAAAGTGGAGGACAAGAACAGGCAACTTCAAAGTATAAACAGTATCTTCAAGTTTAACAGCTTAGATTCTGCATTTTTAGTTCTACAGCATGGTAGACTTCATTTCTATTGGTTAACTCTATTGTGGCAACTCTTTCTAAAGAACACAGGGACCCTTCCTCCGTTTCTGTCCTAATTTCATGTATACCAGGATGCAGTGGCAGTGATTAATGATAAAAACCACAACCAAACAACAAAATCCCCAAACGCCCCACACTGCAGCTCCAAATTGTTTTGCAACTCGGATCAGTACTTCTCATGTCTACAGTTTTCCATAGCTGCTGTTCCCACTTTTCTGGGGTGGTCCTGAGGGTGAAGTGTTGTGCAGTTCCTGCATCTTCTGTAAATGTTTAGTAATCAGTGAGAATGTTACCAGTGTGGAAGCCATTGTCTGATGTGTAAAAGATGTATGTGTTGTCTAATTCTCCATTCAGTTCCAGTTTCTTCACTAGCTTCTCTACCAGGTCATCTACTGACAGCAGAGTTTGCCACCTGTACAGAAACAAAGTTATTCAAGTTAAAGCATAGAAAAAAAAAAAATCAGAATAATTCTGGCTGCAAGGCAGGGCATTTGTATTCTGTTTCAAATCAGCAGTGTATGCACTCCAAGTGGATCATTTTGCTTGCAAATTCCAAAAACAAACTTCAGAGATTACTACACTGTACTTTTGAGACTGCAAGTTAAGATAGAAACAGACATCTTCTTGTTCTTGTGTTTCTTCAGTTCTTGTCTTCAGTTCTTGTGGATTTTATTCTGTAGTGTCTGAGACTGACACCAAAATACTGATTACTTCTTATCTGGAGACAGTCAAGACCAACTTTGAAGCAACATGGTAACAAAGAGTCAAGAGTTATCTCCTGCAAGGTCACTTGTTATTTCTTTTTATGTAGTTTTTAATACTAAAACCCAAGACTGCTGTGAATTTAATTGTCTATACAGAATCTTTTCTGCTTGAAAACTACATCTGCTATTTTGTATTGCTCATAGACTATCAGGGTCCATTATTGCAGTGTATCTAAAGCCTTGAACAGGTACAAGTTCTTTCCTTTGTCATGGGGATTGCTGTTGAGACAAATGACTGCTTCTGGTAAAACAGTAACAAGCCTCCACAGACTAGTATTATGCTGAATTAGTTACTCATTCTTGGATCCTGTTGTCTCCAGGCTTACTTTAGGATTTTGTTGCATAATTTTATCTTCATGTTTCATAAGGCAAGAGCCTGAAAATCTTGGTTTTCCATCTCCGAAGTGACAAGGAAATGCCTGGTAACAGCTCAGAATGGAGCTTAAACTTCAAGTTAAGTTAATGTCTGTTTCAGAGTTTTAAAGAAAATAAACCTGCAGTGTAAACAAATACCCTTCCTTTCTCTTAAAAGAGGGAACAAGCTGTATCTTCACACTATTCCCCACATCCCCTTTTATAAAAAGGAACCAAGCTCCTGCCCTGGCCAGTCAGGTGTTCTCACGTAAAAAGACCACAGACTGAACCAAGGTGAATAAATCAGATTAGCTGGCAGATAAATCAATCACATTTGATGTACATTATGTAAGACTCTGGAATCCAAGTGAAGTAGAAGGTAAGGGCATTTTTATGAAAACCTGCTGTCCACTGAAAGAGAAGCATTAGGGGCACTGAACATGATTGGTCTTTTTAATGATAAATGATGGCAGAATTTGGGAGCAAAATATTTCTTAAGTCAATGACAAGTTTCTTTGCAAAAAGTAAGCAGAAAGTCAAGTCTGCCAAGACAGATGCCAGAAAACTACTACAGGCAATTTGACATCTATGGTCAGGCTTAGTAAAACCTGATAAAAAAAAAACCAACACAACAAAGCACCTTTTCTTTTTTAAAAGACAATAGAAGTTCTGAGCAGAAATCTTAAGCAACAAAAAATTCTTACCTCTTTCTATAAGCATCATCAAGAAACTGTATTGAAGAGTTGGTCATTGGAGTCTTTGCTTGTCGGATTAACCAGTGCTTGTTCTGCAGAAATAAAAAGACAGACAAACATCAGCACAGGAGAGAAGTACCAACTTTTAAACCTTTCCTAGGCCAACTGCAGCAGAAATGTTTAGTGGAAAACATCCATGTGATGCGTGTTAAATAGCCAGGCAATGCTATCAAACTGACCCTCTTGGTTCATCTAAAAATCTAAGGTGCAAGAGAAGAATATATTACAGCTCCACTACGCTCAGGCACTAGTGAGAAGAAAAAAGCTGTAGATCTTGTCAAAACAGATCAAGGAGATATTTGGGAAAGGAGCTCGGGAAGGGTCACCCAAAGATAAAGGTCTCATAGCCCAAGACAGGTCTGATGAAAATATCCAAATGAGTGATTAAGCAGCATTGTAAGACTAATTTTTTCATTTACTAGATCGGAGATGACCCACTCACCACCCTCAGCCTGAGCCTATATTTAGTTGGTCACTCCTCCCCGCAGAACCTCTCCTTATGCTGTTTCCCTCCTGTCACAAGCAAATGACTCTGAACAGGCTCAGCCTTAGGGACGCACAATGAAGTGACTCATGTCACCTGCAGTTTTTTCACTTCCCTGTTTTCTGTTCTTGCCGACTGAAGGAGAGTTTTGGCACGGAGGCTTAATACCGTGTTGAGTTCATTTTAATTTGCTTGGATTCAGATCTCACAGTAGTTTTAAAGATTCTCTGGAGAGACACTAAGTCTCTACTAAGTCTATCTCAGCAAGAAAACGCAGCATAATCAAGACCAAACATCTAGTGTGTTGTTTGAGAGAGGAAAAAGGAAAGACATCACAAACCCCATCCCCAGCAAAACGGAAGTTCTTTAGAGAACAAAGAGGCTGGCAATACCACCTGTGCACCAGCCACCTTTCAGAAGAGGTGCGCTTAGGAGAGACCCTCCTATCAGGCACGTAAGTCATCTAGTATGGTAGAATCCTCCTCTTTCCTGGAGTATTTTGTTCTTCCTAGCTTTCTCTGAAGTTCCAGAAACTTCACACAGAACCTAGACACCACTGTGGATTTCAGTAAACTTCATGCTGACACAGTCTGCAGATCTGCTTCCCCGTCAGTCCCTGTTACATCTCTTTCACCAGTTATACACAAAGCTGCTACCTCCCTACACCCCATTCCGAAAGAAGTTTTAGGAGATCTTGAGACAGCATGCCATGTCTTGCCAGCAGAATCTGAACACAGCTGTGCTCCAATTCTGCAGGAAAAATAGTGCATGCAGGAGAAATCCCCAACACCCATCTTAATCAGTTTCTGTCTCAGAACACGTTAGATAAGCCACTCATCTGGGCTACCAGTAGTCCTGCCTGGGAAACCAGACAGCAACTCATTGCTTGATGTAGTTCACAGCTGAGGATCCTAAGCAGAAGTTAAAGCGTGAATCACTGGACAGACTGACAACAGCTTAGCTCCTGTTTTTCATGCAAATTCTGCCTAGATGGCTTCTTTTAGTACCCCTTGGTCACATACTGTGTAAGGAAGCTAGGCAACATTCACTTGGGAATCAAGACTGTACAATGCAAGACTCTCAAGCCAGCATTACAACATCTATGACTTGAGGGTCTGAGCCTATTTACTTGTCTACTGCTATTGCAGGGATTGTGCTTGCCCTAGAGAACAGTGAAGCTCAAAGAAGAGTTAGGCTTCAAGACCACAACACTGTCAATTACAGAAACACACTGTTAATGATTCTAGCTATTGTGTCTTGGAAGAAGGGTAGTGGCTAGTCTGTTCCTGTTGTGAAACCCAGTAAAACTGTGGATACAGGCATTGACTTCCAAATACTAAGTCTGTCATCTTGCTTTGTATTATATAGGCACACGCAGAGATTTTGCTCCGCACAAGGCAGCTCCACACTATTTTTTGGCTGGCTGCTGACTTTGCAGCTAGTCGTTATTTCTGGCTCACTACTTTAAAAGCATTCACCTATTACAGTAATGGAGGCTACGACAAAGTTAGGGAGCTTTTTATGGAGGAAAAAAGTCTGATCCTCACTCCCGAGTTTGAAACATAACAGGTTGGGCTAAAGTATTTGTTACTGCCTGCAGCCCTTTCCTCCCATCTCTCATGTTTTCATATCACACTGATAAGCACGTGGTCATTTTGCAATCTACAATCCTCAGCTACAAACAAGTTTCACCCTACACTACATGAGGCACAGTGACCTTAAAAGAGGTATCACTAGGCACCAGATAGGCATTCAGGCAATGTTATGTCTTAGTCTTAAGGTTAAGAGCAAATCAGTTGAACACCGAGTTCTGTATTTTAAACAAACTGAATCAAATGCACAGAAGTACAATATCTCACCAGATTAACTGTTTGTGCTTTCACTTATTGGCAGAGTAAGTCGTAGAGGATTAGTTTGAGCTAAATCATATTTGGCTGAGTTCACTGGCAGCGGAAGGGACTGCCCTGTCACAAGGATGTCTATGAATTTGTAACATTAGGCTCAGCAATTCTGCTTACAGATCATTTCAGCAAATTTAAGGCAAGTTCGCAAAGTCCTTAGTGACCTGGCTCACGACCGTGTGGCTTATGATTTCATGGAGTCCTCTGGTTAGTCCGATATGCTTGTCACCCAGGGGCAGCACTGCCATAAGCTCAAGTAACAGACTACCCATCCACACAGCAGATGTATGTAGGAATACAGGCCTCACACCTGAGTCTTTGTGTAGCAATGCTACCTATGTGTACTCCTGAACATACCAAAAGCAATGAAAGAACATTCTAAGAGCATCAGAACAGCCTGGAAATTGGACAAGGAATTAACTCTTTTCCATTTATCAACCATAACTCCATTGTACTGCCTTATTTTTGACAATACATTTTTTTAATTTACAAGATATTGGTATGCAGATACCTCAGTCACAATAAACATATCTTACCCTGACAGGCTGATTAACATAACCAAACAACCAGCAGTCACAGTATTAGCCTGAACAGGCTTAGCACGCAAGTCTCTGCTGTCACAAGTAAGTAGAATAACCTATGCAGATTCTAGCTTACCTTCCCATGAATATTAAAATTGCTATTTCTTGGTGCACTGACATTCTGAAAGCTCTTTGTATACTGTGGAGCAGCTGTCCAAGGCGAGTGCGGTGCTGGGGTTGAGATCATCATAAAGAAAGGCTCGAAATTTGATTTATACTCCAAGAAATCTAATGACATGTTGGCCTGTGAACAGTTTTGTTGGAGAAGAAAAGTCAGACCTCCAAAAGAAAACAGCAAGTATAAAGTACCAGACATTCATAACCTAGAGTTTGGTAGTACTGGGAACATTTAAACTATTTCAGCAACTTATTGCTTGCTCATCTCCAAGTGTCCAGAACAGCATCTTGTGATAAAAAAAATCCCAAGTGTTCACATGAAGCAAATCATTCATCCCACATCTCTGAACAGCTTTCTACTTCAAACCTGAAAAGCTTATCAAGAGTTTGTGCCTATTCCAACTATCAACAAAATCCACCTAAACTTGGCTTTCATCAAGTAGAACTGGAGCTCTCTTTAGCATAGTCCGAGTCTCTCACATGCCATCTCCTGCCTGACAGATCCCGGTTTAGCAGTTTCATTTGTCTTCAGAAATAGCAATAGTTCTGAAAAAAAAACCAAACCAAAAACAACCAAAACCCCCAAAACCTCCAGCCCCACTGTTTATAGTGTACACTCATTCTGTAGCAAGCTTCCTATCTATAATGGGTGCCACATTTCTGCTGAAGCCAGAAGCTCTCAGGAAGGACAGTACCAAACTCCACTCACTCACAGCACCTCACTGCACTTTCATTTTCGTTTCAGCCTACACGCTTTCAAGTAGCAAGTGAGTTCTGCTGACAATCCACAGATGGAGAGTTTCATACTGGCCTTCCCTTGGTCAGCCTTTGAAATTAAAGCTTCAAAGGTATTACTCACAGGTGAGCTCTTTACTGTTCAAATCTTGCAACATTTTCCTTTCCTGCCCAATCAGTACACCCCATTCTGGATATCCTTTTCTTTCTCTAGAAGAAACAATACACTAACAATTCCCTCCTCTTCCTTCCTCCTAACTCAAACATCTAAGCAAGTAGGGCAGGACTTCAGTTACATGACAACAGAGTTAACGGAGAATAAGAACTGTGTGAAGTTTGAAAATCTGGTTCAGAAACCAGTATAACATAGGTAAAGTCCTAGAGATAGTCAACTTAGATTTTGATAGAAGCTTAAACTACAACATGTCAGGGCTGCTGGAGACAGATCCAGATGCTCAGATTCTTAATACCAGACTTAAGTACCGAGATGTGTCAGGACAAGAAAGCTTGTGCATGACATCAAGCAACCCAGGAACTCTGCATAAGCAATTAACTCCTTTGCACCACTCATGCAAACATGAGCTCTGAAATGCTGAATGCATATTTGGTAGCTACAGGCAAAAAGTAGAATGGAACACACTGAAAATCATAATATACTGCTGTATCAATAGTTAACACACCACAAGTAAGAGGTTTATGCAGCAATGACCTGTTAGTCAAAATGCTTATGAGCTGCTGAAGGATCACAAGCACCTAGTGCAATGCCAGTAATAGGATAGCCTCACTTCTGGCTTATCAATTCCAATCTAGCTTTAGACAGTGTAAATCTAAATTTAATCAGACAGCTGTTCAGTACCCTGAGAAACATCCATCAGTTCTGTTCCCAGTAAGCAGCTGTCTCTGTTCAAGAGCCCAGTGCAGTGAAACTCATTAGGGTCTCAATGGAAGACTACAAACTGACTGCATGAGATTTCTCAGAAAGGACTTTTCCCAAGTGCTGCATGTGAGCTCCCAGCACTACCAGCTCCTACACTGTAACAGCATGTTGAACTAAGATGGCAGCTTGGCAGGTGGGGGGAACACTCCCCCTCCCCACTTCTGTACCCCAAATCTCCAAGCTAATAGTACTCACTAAACAGGGCCTCAAGAGAGCTAAAATAACTCTTCCAATCTTTCCTTTAAGTATTTGATATCTTTGTTATCTCTCTTTACCTTAAGAGAGTAAAGAGAATAAACACTCCCTGGGCAGCTACACATTTTGCACAGTACATATACTGCCCTCTCACACCACAGAGGACTGATTAGCCTTTGATATCTCCAAGATATCAGCTTGATGTAGTTAGAGCTTAGAAGATACTAACACATCACACTAACAAAAAACCATGCTGTAACCCTATTTTTACATGCTTAAACTTCACACTGAAAGCTTGGCCCAGTTTATCTGTTACAGAATGTATTATAATGAGACATGTCCTTCAGTGAAGTAGTTTAAGTCATTGCCTACATGCATCCCATTCCCCATGCACCACCGCAGTCAGTAGTAACAGCTCAATGAGGCTACTGGCTTGCAGATGGACAGCTGGAATCCCTTTCCTCTCCACAGCTCATACACACAAACCTGTCATTTCTATATATACCCAGAATCTTGCTCTGCTGATTAACATCCACCCATGATCACAACAGCACAACCATGTATTTATGAACTAATACAGCCTAACAAATTATCATCCCACCCTTCCCTGAGCCCCCAGCATAAGGCATTATCTGGTCATAAGCAGCTTCTGTAACACACATGTTGCAAGTTTCTTACCAGTACATCTGTCAGGTAATCCACACTGTAGTTCTCACCATGCCTTCGTGCTTTACCATTTACTGAAAGAGTATAGTTGTAGTACTTTGAATTCTTCTCCTGTGGAAAAGAAAAGCAATGGGCATATTTATACAAAGTAACATGCACATTGATTACTTGAAATAATCAAAATGACCTGCTAGCAAGCGTTTGTCAAATAGGTTATAAGCACTTGTCATAAGGATACCACAAGAATTCTCAGAGCTGGTTTCCAACAACAAAACTTATTTTAGTGCTACCTTACAGTGCTGTGGCTTTACAAGCCAGGATTTCCCCCAGGCACCTTAGCAGGAATAGCGTTTGTGAAAGCCAAGGATGCAATACACAATAGAGGAAAAAAGGGAAGAAAATTTGCATGAAATTTTTAGATGCTCTTTGCCTGCTCTCTTATCACCAGCAAAGCTCGAACATGAGTTGGATTACAAAGCAACCAAAATTAGGTATATTAAACAACAGAATAGTCACATACCAAAGCATACCAAAAACTCCACCCAGGAGGGACGTGACCTACTCCCCCTGCATCCTCTGCTCCGTACTGAAAAGAAAAAGACCATGACTCACAGTTTCAATTACAATGAATAAAAGCTAGAAATTATGTTTCATATTCATGTGCTTTATTCAACACTAGTCAGAAAGTGCATTACGCCAAATTCAGTTTCAGAATGAAAAAAACCCAAAATATATATGCATATAAAAACACATAGCCTGTTAAAGAAACTAGGGTTAAATAACTATAGAGACAGTAACTGAAAGCTTGGTATTCACCAATAAAATTTAGATTTTATTTCCCGTTCTACTCTGCACATGAAAATATGCAGAAATCCTGGGGTACATCATCAGGCAATGAGAGGTGATCAAAACACACATGGGACAAGAGTCGCTGAGGCTTTGTGATAACAATTCACAAGATACTAAAGAACATTTTGCATAGATCGACAGCTTTATCATCCTCCCCCAAAGGGAGGTAGGAACTTTAAGCCTCTTGTCACCTAAGTGCCAAATAATCTGCAACGACTAGCCTTTAAACCACCAAAAAAGGGAAAGTAGCTGCTGCATCAGTGCCAAACTCAAGACAGAGGGTGCCTCAGGGCAACACAATGGGTTGCCCTCAGGGCTGCCCTCTCCCATCTACACAGCTTGCCTAACCGCAGGGACAGGAGACCATGCAGTCAAGAGATGTTCAGAGGAAGCCAGAGAAGTTTCCTTTCCCCTCAGTGCCTCAGTAACACCAGGAGAAACAAATTTGTGCCTGGCTATGAAAATTCATGTTCCATTACTCTGTTACACCACCAACATTTTCCACCAAGGGATGCAAGGAAAATAATGCTGTAAAGAACCCTGCAACTCATCTAGCTCCAAATACAATTCCATCACGCAAAAGCAGTACCCAATCTTAGAGCCTTCAGCACTGAAATTTACATCTTACCAAAAACTACTGCAAATCACAGCTTAGTTAAAAACAGGGGAAAAAAACCCAAGAAAGCCAAGCCCAAAGGACACACATAGAAGTGTTCAATAATAACGTTTTGGGTAACCTCTATAAAGAGCTTTGATAATATCTGTTCTCCCAGTGAACTTGCCTTAGTTCATTTAATATTTAAAATGCCGTAATAACTGCTAAAAAGAAAAAAGTCCTCTGATTCAAGGTGATATATCAGTCAGGAATTTTAAGATGAACAGACTTTTTCTTTAATGTTCTAACATTGTGCTTGGTCTGGTGCCGGCTTGATGGTGTTCTCAATACCACACACCAATCACCTATCCATTTCTCCCAGTCATTAAAATAATAATCTCTAAAAATCAACACACCTTAACATACTAAAGTCTTTAGATTCCATCATCCTTACAAAATTAACATTTAAAAATGTTCAGGCACCTGCAGGACCTGATTTAACCAAGGTAACTTAAAAGATCTGAACTTTGCATCATATTTATGCTGTCTCAGCAAAGAGAACTGCTCATCCAACTACCACCATTTCAAATGTTTTGGGGATCTGCACTCAGCTACAAACATAAAAGCCACAGGAAGTTTCAGAAAGGTGGACAAATGGAAATGAACTGCAGCACAGTAAAAAAATAAGCACAAAATACCTCATTCAAATATTTTCCAGCAAAGAACGTTTGATAGCCACACATAGTTTTGAGGAGAGCTGGGAAGGTATATGGCTCCTGAATCTTCTGCCATAACTTGCTGCTGCAGTTTCCTTCCAGAGTGTTATTGACAACATGATGATTATGTGGGTATTTTCCTGTTAAAATGCTAGCTCGACTGGGACAGCAGAGAGCACTGGGAACATACTGGAAAGACAGGATGAAGAGATACAAGATTAACACTGTAAAACAATTTTTCTCTCAAACTTTCTAGCTTTGAAGTAACAGCTAATACGGTGATCAAAATGTTCACCAGTGTAAAGCATGCTTTTTTCTGGACACACAGAATTACATCCTAAGCATTTTCACTAGTGAAAAACTGCACATGAAATTGGTTGTAGGTTTCTGAAGCATATGCCCTTCAATCCCCCTCTCCTGATTGGACATGGTTCTTATACAGCAGTAAGTATCCATGAAAATACTGACTGCAATGGAGTTCATGCACTCCATTATTTTTGCCATAGAAATACACTAGAATATGAAAAGAGTGAAGTGGGTTTTCAGCATGCAAGAAGCCGAAAGTTTTAAGCAGCTTCTTCTAATGCTTCTCAGTTTGTAATAAAAATACTCAGATTACTCAGTTTTACTTTACAGCTTAAGGAAGTCAACAAAGTACTTTTAGGAAGTGAAACTTTCCTTCTCAGCTTCTGAACATGACCTTGAGCTATACTCATTTTGAGGCCTAAAGTAGTTAAAGACTGAATGTAAAAAACCCACACGCATACTTACAGGCTTCATAAAACTACTACCAGATTTGAGGCCTTAGATGACCTAAGATACAAACTACGCAGACACACACACACCCCTCAGAAGTTTGAAGAGCACTTACTGCATTTAGGAAGGTCATTCCCATCTGTGCAATGAGAGCATTAGTCTTCTTCAGGGGGGTCTGGAAGAAAGGTACCAAAAGGAAATCAGCTAAAAACATAAGGATGTAGGTAAAGTAGGGGGGCTGAGCCAACATACCGGAAGCAAAGCCCACCACCACAGTTTCCAGGCACTGCTGGGGCAATCCATGCAGTGCCTTTTCGCTGGGGCCTCGTCTGGTCCCAGCAGTTACACAACTCAGTCCAAGAGAGCCGAGGTGCAGGGACCTGCC